ATTGTTTTGCGATTGTATCGCATACCGTACCCTTTTGTTAGGTATGGCCACTGGCCTTGAATTTTATAGCATGCTATGTGTTTACATACTAATTGTGTACCCGATATATACCCGGAGTATACTAATTGTGTTTATGATAGTGGGGTTAATTAGTAGGGATTAGGTGTACGTGTAGTTCCCATTAAGTGTATTATAAATGCATTTTTGACTGTTATGTGTGTTTAATGGTAATTGTATTGATTTTTAATGATTAATCAATTTTTGTGTTATTGTCTTCACTATTAAAGGCATTGGATTATTGGGTACACTATTGGCATATATTTGTAATTATGTTGATAATGCATAAGTGATTTGTATTTAGCATATAATCTGGGGTTTCATTCAATTATATCTTTATTTTTATAATTAGTTTTGTGTCGAGTTTTTCAATTTATTTTTGGCTATAATTCAAACATTTAATTGTGAAACGACTGTGACTTTAAGTTTTCAATTTCTGACATATTTTTCCCGTTAATATCGTATGGAAAGTGTTTTTAGTTTTGTTTTCTCATAAATTTTAAATTGAAAGTCATTTTCAAGTTTAGTTTGTTTGATGTAAGCATTGAATTCATGGCATGTTTTCCTTAATAATGTGAATAATTTGAATAATTATTGAGATTTTAATAGAAATTATTGTTTGTGAGCTATTTTTTATGGTGAATATATTTTTATTTGAATTTTTTATTTAGTTTTCATTTTTCATATGATTTTCACGCTGTTTATAATTCAAAGTTCATAAACACTTCACACAAATATAATTATAAGATTTGATTAACTAATAAATAATAATAAGACGTTTAATATTAATATAAACATAAACAGTGAGACACTTAACTAGATATCAATGGTTTCCTTAATTACCATAAGCCCTGAATTATTAGCTAAATATAACTTTGGACTTATTTTGAATGAAATGTATTTTTTTTAATTGAAAAACAATTATGTAATTTTTTGATGACTTGGATACCCATACTTAAGGTTAAGGTAAGGGTTATCTCTGTAGGGGGACTGGAGTTTAAAAGTTTATATATCCCGATGTAATTAATACTAACCTCTAATTCAATGTGATTTATAGATTAGACATACAAGTAGTCATTCATTTAGTGACAACTTTTTGACAGTTATTCCCAAACTATAGATTAGATAATAAATAGTATTAATAGACTTTAGACTGATTTACCGGAAAATAATGTCTCACTAATTATGAGTGCATTAAAAGTTTAGTTTTTTAATTAAAAACTAATTTCTATTGAAATTTTTGTTTGTTTTATTTGCGAGTATTGTTTGGGCACCGGTAGGGAAAACACTTGTGTGCATGCAGTCAATCATTTTAATTGTTTAAATGGGTAGTAAATTGTGGGTTTTTAGTTTGCTATTAAAAGTTTAGTGAAATATAATTTATGTCTATTTTAGTGTAAAATTGAGTGCAATTTAATGTCAATTTAATTGATTAAATTCATACCATTTATGATAGGATTTAATGATTTTTTATGAGAAACTGATAGTTAGGTTAGATCTTTGGATATGTAGTGAGACTTTGGTTTGATTTTTGATTTTTATTATTCGTTAGGAAATTGTTTTTCCTTATTATGACAGAAGGGCTTAAAGATAATCATAGTTTTAAAGTCTAACATGTTTTCTGATAACAGATAATAAACACACAAATGTGACGTTATGTCAAACTTAATTTTTTATGAGAAAATTTTAATTTTTCAATTAAGGATTAAATATGATTGATTTATGCTTTGTATATGTAGACCCATAAATTTAATGTATTACTAATATCGTAAGATTATTTGTAATTTTATATTAAAATTACAGTTTTATTCTCTAAAAACTGAATTTAATTGAATTTGCATACATTTTCAATATCTGACACTTAATAACTTATTTACTAGACTTATTTAGTTTATTTAATAGCTTATAGTATTTAATCGATTGATAATACAGTAATAAATTTTAATAAATATCTTGTAATTAAATTAAACTATAACATAAGTGTTACATAAAAAAAATAAAATTTTCTTAAATATCATCCAATTTAGAGCAAACGCTCTTATAATCAATATATTGAGAGCAATATTGTCATGCATTTAGTGCACTATTCAATAAAATTTAAGATTCAATGCATTTGATGATAAAACTTAAGATTTGAACCAAAAATACACATAAAATACTAAACATAATGACTAATTGACTGCAATATACCCGTACCAATAGGTGACCACGTGTTCGTGCACGGGGCGGCCGCTACGCCCAGGGTACTGGTGCCGGCACTGGCAGCCCACGGCAAGAAGGCTAACCTCAAGAATGTGAGGGTACACCACATCCACACGGAGGGGGCGGGCGAGTACAACGCGCCCGAGTTTAAGGACATATTCCGGTCCAACTCGCTGTTCACGGGCGGCAACTGCCGGGAGCCCATCAACGCCGGGAGGGCCGACTTTACGCCTATTTTTTTGGGCGACATACCGAAGCTGTTCTATAAGGGCATCATTAAGCCGGACGTGGCCTTACTGCAGGTGACGCCCGCCGATAAGCACGGCTACCACTCGTTGGGCACGTCTGTCGACTGTGTGAGGGCTGCCATACAGCACACGAAGTACATCATCGGTCAGGTCAACCCCAGATTCCCACGCACTAGCGGTCAGTATATGTTGTATACCTTTCCCCTCGAGTTTGCGGGATTAACCCATTTTTAGTAGTTATTGTCTATTACCGTATAATTTGAGGGAATGTTAGGTTTTGTTTAACTGCTAATCGTTTAGTACCGGTATATTAATCGTACTGTGTTTTGGGCACCTGTAGGTCACGCCATTGTCCACGAGTCGCACTTCGACGCACTGGTCGAGGGCGAGCTCGACATACCGGAGCATAAGTCTAAGGGACTGACAGACGTGGAGAAAACGATCGGCAAATTGATTGCTGAGAATCTGGTGGAGGACGGGGCGACGATGCAGATGGGTATCGGCGCCATTCCCGATGCAGTGCTGGCCGACTGCACCCAACACAAGGACCTGGGCGTCCACTCCGAGATGTTTTCGGACGGTGTCGTCGATCTCGTCAATTTGGGTCAGCATTT